TGGTTAATGAAAACTTGAAAATTAAAGTTAAATCATTAACTACTGATCTTGATAAATCTAATGCTCAACTTTAATCATTTATTAGTGGCTCACAGAAGCTAAATAAATATGCTTGAGATGAACAAGCCTACTGAAAATAGGCAAGGTCCGGCTTATGTTGATAACCATGGTACTATTGTTTGGGGAATATGTTGATAACCGTGTGTCTACATGTTTGTATATATATTTAGGGGTCTATGTATGTATGTATGTATGTATGTATGTATTTTGGCTTGTCTTTGTATATTCTATATTGTATTTGTATGCAATTAAATTATCAGTGATGATGTCTTTTAACATTTGATTAAACTTTAAAATTTGTATGAGCCTTTACACTTTCAATTACACAGTTTTACGACAATAATAAATTGATTAGTAGATAAACACTATGGATTCATATTTAGAGAATGAATTGTCAAGATTCTAAATAAATGGTATTGTATTAGGATTTGGCTCATTAACTTTGTGGGTGACTAAGAATATCTCCACTTTAATACTCACAGGAAAGTAAATTGTTAGGACTTAAGGTAAGTAAACATCCCCCTTTTCACACATCATATGATTAAGCCCCTGTTTGGTTTGGATTAAAAAGCAATTAAAATTTCAAGCCAAAGTCAATATTTAATTTTAATCACACGTTTCATAATACCCACAACTTTTCAACCAACTTTTATCAAAATCTCTAAAAAATTGATTTTTAATCTCCACCAAACAAGGGTTAAATGTATAAATGTGTCTTTGTATTTGCCATTATGTTAACATGATATATGACTTTTATGTTTTACGTAATTGATGTTTCATATTTATACGTGTCAATGAATGCATAAGCATACATGAAATTTCAAGAAATAAAATTTTCCAAATGTCAATTAGTCGAGGAATATTTTTAAAGATATATATCCTGAATATTTTGTTACAAGATGTATGTCTATGCCATGAAAGATATGAGTGAGAAATGAAGCATGGAGGACCTGTGCACCCCACAAATGTTTCATGTTCAAAGTTCAATGATAATGATAATGTTAATGTTAATCGCTTTATGGTATTACCAGTTTGGACTCGACATTGTTCCGAATAATAACTATCTATTGCATTCTGATTGGCAAGGCGATGCGCTAAGTGATCTCACAGCGTCAATTTTAAGTTCTTTAAAGAAATGAAAGAGAGAGAATATTTATTGAGAGTTGCTTTGGTATTAAAGTAATTCATACGCATATCATAAGCATATATCATATGTATAAGGTTTGCTTATAGAGCATTAGCTCATTCCACGTTATTCCTCCCCATTTTCAGATGATGAAGGCAAGATGATTCGAGATGATGACTTGTGGTGATACGGATTCTGTACTATTATATTTAAATGTTGAATTCGTTTTTCTAATTAAAGTTAACAATAAATTTAATTGTTCTATTAAGCACAAATAATTTTAAAGTTAAATGCTTATTTTGTTTTGAAAGTTAAGTTCTAATTGTCTTATATTTTTATAAGTATAAATGATTTTTCATAAATGAAGTCATTGATTTCTGTTATGTAAAAGAAAAATCTAATTATTTTTCCGCATTCACGATTTAAAGAGATAAATGAAATGTTAGGGGGATGTCCTCAATTAAAATTGTGATGAATTTTGAAAATTCTTCTAAATTTAGGTATCTTCAATTGAGATTTTAATGGATTAATTTTAATGAAATTCACTAAAATTTAGGTGTCCCCAATTGAAATTAAACTGAAATCCTACAAAAATTAGGTAACATCAATAACTGGTAGATTTATAAAATTTTAATTTATGGATATATAATAATAGATTAAGATGGATTTCAA